AGGGGAACCTCTGCTCGTTCTCATCCTGTCGGAATAAGGATATGAGTGCCATTTTTCGAAATTACTAGACCGATCGGCTTGAAATTTTTTACGACATTTTTTGACATATTTGTTGGGTAATGATCGAAGGAATACAATTTTTTTATAATAATTTCGATATATATATATAGATATAGATGAAGTATATACTTTTTCACAAAAAACGACTTTTTTTTAAGCCGCCATTTTATTTAAAACTAAAATTTTGACTAGGCCTTCGATCATTATCTGTATTCATTGGGTTTCGGATTTAAAGTAACTTTAAGTAAAAAAAATCATACTTACCCCTAAACACCTTTTTTCGGAGATCCTACTTAAGATCGACAACGTGATCAAGAGAATCCAAAATTTTTCAAAATGAATCAGAATTAGTTACAATATATTTATGTATTTTTAAACCCTGAACAGAGTATATTAAGTTTACCACGATGTTTCCAAAAGGAAACGCCGGAGACCTTATAAAGTATATTATATATATAAATGATCAGCGTAACAAGCTTAGTCAATTTAGCCATGTCGAACGATCGGTATCAAGTGCTTGTATGAAAAACTCTTTTATTTGACAAGGTATTGTCACGAAATTTGACATAAACTATTACCGCTACAATCTCCAAAAATATAATATTAAGCTGCCATATTAACTATCGATAATGATCAAAATCAAGATAAATATATTTGTATACCCTTTTACGCCACTAAAAAACACCTGTGGAGGGTATTATATTTTCGGTTTGTGTCCTTGTGTCAAATTTACTGACATTGACACTATTTTGATCCAATTATACTTTGACTATATCTAGTAAAATTATGAATGGCAAAAAGCTAGCACACTAAAATATGTTAAAGATTTTGAACAATAAGGTAAAAGAGCAAATATATTTCACTATATTTTTATTAAATGCCAATTTTTATTATTTGACTTCAATTGTCATCGTGGCATAATGAGTGAAGTTTGCATAAATTCATATTACTTCAGTAAAATATGGAGCAGAGCAGTGTGGTTAGTGATATAATGAACAACGCTTTATGTAGACCTCTATGACATGTATTAGATATTTATCTGTAAATCTTATCGAATTACGAAAGTTAAGGCAGTAAGTTCATCTGAAAGCTCTAAAAGAAATTTCGTTTTCGAACTTTGAACTTATGAAACGGTTATGGATATATGTGTTAGTACAGCCACAGGAGTGTTTCAACTGTCCAATTGTGATTTTCGAGATTTTCTTCACTGGGATCAACTCCGTAACTTCACTTACCTATAGGTATATCTCTAAATGATTTGAAGTTATGAAGCACAAATATTTCTAATACTTTTTCTAAATCTCCGTTTTATATGAAATTTCTGTCATCTCGTAATAAAAATTATAAGTCTTTACCAATACTTTTATTTATACATTGTTGTTTATAATGACATAATACATATGAATTGCTGTTCAGTGATCTAATTTCTCTGTAAATTCACAATAACAATTATTTTTCTGAAATCATAGCAGTTAACAGTAAAGCGACGTATTAGTAAAAAATACACGTAAGCTGTAAGCGTGTCATTACACGTCAACTGGAACCCCTGGAGAGCAATAAAAACTGATATTAAATGCAGCTGCAACTTGGACATTGCTAATTGAAGCGTTTTAATTGGAATCTATACGCGATTATGCCAACATATTTATGGAGAAAACCTAACAAAAAACTCAACTTCCCCGTCATTTTCAATTACTCACTACTCAGTCGCGTGCTAACTACATTTCCCCAAAGAATGAAATGAATGAATCTACTGGCTTCGATAGTGACAGACCCGTTTGGCAGGAAACTGCCAAGTGTAAGTGCCGAAAAAGTACAAGCGTAAATGGCAAAAAAAAAGTACAAATAAAACTAAAATGAAATAAAAATCGCAATGTCGATGATATTAAGGAAGGAATGTAATTCCCGTATTCGTGCAAAATAAAAGGCGATTTAAGTTTGGTTTTCGCATTCATGCCGAAATTGCAGATAAATATGCGCGTTAGCAGCCAAAGCGACGCCACAGCTATTCGCAAATTTTGATTCGTATGCAAGCGAGTTGATATACTCATATATGGTATATATGTATATGGATATATATATATATACGTTACATATGTACATACATACATATATGTGTGTGAGAATAAGTGTATGCGGTTGTGATTTCGAGGCTTTAGTGCACTTTTATGCATAGCTCCACAAATATATGTATATATACATACATATATGTTTGTGTTTGCAGTTATATTTTTATCACTTAATATGCAAGCAAATGTGTGTGTATGAAAGCGTGTAATTTTTTGTACAAATTTATTTTTTGTTTTCCTTTTGTGAATATTTTTTCCCGGCGCTTTTAGTTGCCTCTCAGAGAGCACAGAAAATATAATAATAAAAAAAAAAAACTAAAACAAGGAATGAATGGCACGCGCGGGAATCCCATGAATGCACCGTTTCGGGTTCTGACACATTCACTCATTCATTTCGATTTGCTGCTGACGTCCAACTGAGTGCTTAATTCTACTTTTTTTACGCATATAAATAAAACAAAGCGAGCTATGCAGGTTGAGATGTAGATATCTATGTACTCATATATATGTGTATATGTTTGGTAAAAAAATCAATGAAAAAATTGCCATGAAACTGGTTGCTCCAAAAACATATTAAAACAAAAATAAAAGTTATACAGAAACAGTAATGCATTTAATTTGCGGAAGTCTAGAAAAACTTTATCAGATAGAAATTGACGTAGACTTGCTCAATTTAAGCGCATAAAACAAGTTCCTGAATTATGTTGTATTAAATATATTATTATGGTATATAACTATGTATAGCACTTATTACATAGACTTTACTGTTTTTAAGTAGTATATGCATACATAAAATATTTCTGCCACATCTTACATTTATTACATGAATTTTGGTTTTTAAAACATGTGGCAACACTTTTAAAAAAAATATTTTTAACTATAAAGCTTCTCTAGCTTAATACGGTTTTCTTAAGTTTAACTAATTTTTAGAATTGAATTGATAAATTTAAAAAAATATGGCAACACTGCAAAATATTTTGAATTGCAAGCCTTTTTAAACATGTTTAGGTTTATATCGAAATTCTAAAATTTTTTTTTAAATTTTTTTAATAAAAAATTGTTATTGAAATTCTAAGCATAAATATTTTTAATAGTCAATTTTGGGTATATGGTAACCCTGCTAAAATATTTTCAGTTATAAGCTTTTTTAAACTTTGTTAGTTTTATATTGAAATTCTAACATGTTTTTTAAATTTTTTTAATAAAAAATTAAAGCATATGGCAACGCTTCTACATATATATTTTTAAATAAAAGTGTTCTTCGACTGATTTAGCTTAATGTACAATGCACACTATAATATTCCACGTAATTTATCAACTTATTTGAGTATCAAATTTATATCATATGGCAACTCTTTGCAAAAAGTTTAAACTACGAACATTCCTAATCCTCCACATTAAGGTTATGCTGGTTTAGACTAGAACACTCCACCAGAATTATTCTATATACAAGAAAGGGAAACCGGAATATTAGCGCGGCGATTTAGTAACAGTTCGACGATAGCGTCACCTATCAGATAAGTATTTGTATTCCCTCTAGCAATATATGGTATAATCTGAATAAGACTGAAAACAGTCAGAAACAAGATAAAACGTTAACTTCGGTTGCATCGAAGCTATAATAACCTTTACAAATACAAATAATCCTTACAAGAACTTTGATCGGCCAATTTTATATCGCAGCTATATCCTATAGTGACTCGATTTAAGAATTTCTTCGGAAATTGCAACGTTGCAATAAACCACGCCAAATTTGGTGAAGATATCTGGCCAAATGAAAAAGCTCTTCATTCAGCACTTTATTCCTATCGTTAAGTTTGTATGGCAGCTAGCTATAGTAGCTAGCTATAGTATTTCAGATTTCTATCTCAAAAACTGAGGGACTAGTTCGCATATATACTGACGGATGGACAGACAGACGGACATTTCTAAATCGCCTCAACTCGTCACGCTGATCATTTATTATAGCGTGTCTGACGTTTTATTTTGAGTGTTACGAATAACGTGGCTAACTTAATACGAGTATACCCTGTTTCGGGTATAAATACAAGTTGTTGTACTATGTTGATTGCAGCGTCATCTATGGAGACTAAAGGTGAGACGGATATACGAATGAAGGACAGGGGTCCATTAATTCGGTTCTTCTTTATATAATATATTTTTTTGTTTCTGATGTTAGGGATATGTTACACTACTCTATCTCTCTCGGTAATATACCATTATAAAGAACCGTTAGGTGAAAAAAATTATATATTCTGCCAAACATGAAATTAGAAATATTTAGAATATATATAGAAAGAAATATAACCATTAACCATAAATTCACACCAATTGGTACACAAAGCCAACAAAAAAAATTAAGTGCCTATCAGTTTCACAGCAATCGCTTAAACCGTGTTGACATGTGAAAGCCACAAGCATTACGCTTGCATAACTTATGTAATCACACTTGTGTATGGGCTCGCGTGCCTATACACACACACACTCATACATATGTATGAGCGTTTGCATTTTCACAGTAAACACCAATGACAGTGGAATTCCCTACTAATTGAAAAGCATTAATCTGTACTCCACGCCGATCGACTTAGCGCTGCATTGTCCATAGTTGGCAACGTGCGACCCACAACCCGCCACCCGCGATCCGCAGGACGTAGCACGCGATAATACCCGGACGATTTTGAACTTTTGCAATTGGCGAGCGCGAACAAATCGCAGTTACAACACAACAAAAACAAAAAATATACAATACAATAAAGAAAGAACATGCGCCACACTAATACACATGCACTTATCAAACGCACACACACACACATACCTATATATACTCCACTGGCATGCATTAAAGCGCTCGTCCTCTATTCGCACGCACCGAACGGCAGGTTGTATAAAAGTGCCGCGCCCAATGATGCCGGCCAACAGAGTTCAATAGCAGCTGCTGCTGTGATCAACCAGCAACCGGGCAGAACAAACGCTAAGAGCGCGATATCGGCGGGCACAAAGCCGTGCAGAATAATTATTGTTGTTGGTTATTGGCGCTTTGCCGCTTGAAAATTATATCCACGTTATTATTGTTATTGTTGTGATTGCGATTGTGATTGTTTTTGCAGCGCTTTACGATTGAATTGCTCGCGCAAACAAGTTACATAAACACACGCGCACACACACAAACATAACGCGTTTGTTGCACTATTGTAGCTGTTGAATAAAGTAAAATAAATTAAAATCGAAAAAAATTCAATAAAATTAATACTTGGCATTTGCATTGATACGGTCTCTCGAAGCGCACTAATTTGCCGTAATTTAAACATAACATTAAATTAACGGTGAACCAGCAGCTGGCGGAACTGTTGCGCTATCCAGTTGTTGTTTGCGAAACGTGGAGTTCGGAGCATCGAATAAGATTTTTTACATTAAAATTTAGCACACTTCTTTGTGCGAAAATGACTGCTAGTCACAAAACTTCGAAGTTGTTTTTGTTGCTGCTGGCTTTGCTAGCGTTTGCTAGCAATACTCGTAAGTGCGGTAAGTGAATGACTTCATTAAGACGAATTGCTGCTTCAAGGTCAATTTTAATTGAAAAAAAGCATTAATTTCATGGAAATTGTAGTAACATAAATTCAGTTATATAATATAAACTGATATGGTTTAAAAAACTGAATTTTTTCGGATAATTTCTTTAACTTGAAAATTAAAATTAATAAAAAAGCCGAAATTACAATGAAGATTTCGATAAATAAAATGAAATGCAAAAATATTTCAACACAAATTTTCAAATTAAGTTTTTTTTAATAAAAACCAAAAATTCGAAATTAATAAGGAAAATTTAAAATACGAAATTAAAGTTTCAAACTAAAATTCGAAATTAAAAATGAAATGCAAAACTATAAAAACACGAATTTTCAAATCAAGCATTTTAAATGAAAGCCAAAAGTTCGAAATTAGAAAGGAGAATGTAAAATTCGCAATTCCTAGAACTACGAACCGTTCAAATGATTTATTTATACCATTTTCTCTATATTCCTATTTAATATTTTATGATAATGTCATGATTTTAATTAAATTTGTGTATAGAATAATATTATAGATTATTTTGTTCTTACGCTTCTAATTTTCAGAGAGAGGGAGACCTATTTGAAATAGGTGTATGGTAAACCTTCGCAGTAGTAGTGTTAAAGTTTGAACTTACAAAAATTAAAATTCCATTTTTCAAAAGTGAAAATAAGAGAGAAAAATTGAATTCAAAACCTAAAAACTGTTAATTAAAATTCGGATTTTATGGTCATAATTTAAAATTTGTAAATTTAGTAGAAGACGAAAGTTCGATATCAAATCATAACTTTAAACACATCAGAAAGTATCCCATCACATCACAATAAATCTCTTTAAATTATAATTGTACATTATTTTTTTTTTCTGGTTATTTAATATCACATGATATCATTTCATCAAATGATATCAGATCATATCATATTGCATATCCCAAACACATCAAATATATGGTTTTCTTTTTTAATTTTTTCAAAACTTTTGTTAAAGGACGTCATGTGATATTGGGTCACGTCATATATCGTCACGTGATATACCATATCACATAACTCATACGCTAAATTTTCAAAGATAATTGCCTTACACATCACATCACAAATCAAAACTAAATACGTCTTATTATGTTAATAATATGACACTTTATAGATTTTTAAAATTTTTTAATAATTTTATTAGCACATCACATCTCAGTACACGATGTTTTCACCCTTTTATTTCAAAATTTCACAAGGCTTATATATGTTTTTTGTAAATATAATGGATATAAATTTCCCTACAACTTAACTATATACTATAAATAACTATAACACTTGATACTCCACAGCATTCGCGGCGATTCTAGCGCCCATGCGCGAAGTGAAAGTCGTGGACGATATCGCATCCAATGTGCTTACCAATCTCGAAGTGGAGGCCTACAATGAGCGACGACATCATCGTAATATGGATAAAAACTTTAATATGGATAAAGAATTGGAGGATGAAAGTGAAGACGACGAGTTCTGTGTGTGGCACAAATGTGATAATGACTTGCGCGAGCCACGCGGCTTCAAGAAATACTTTGATTTGTCATTTTTGAAGAAATTTATGAGTCATTTGAATCCCTTTGGCATGTCGCAGATGAATATGAATTTCTACCTCTTCAAACAGGACTTCCCTGAATGTGGGCGTGAACTGAGTGTCAGCGATAAGCGCGAAGAAATATTGCGAGCTGGCTTTAATCCCAGGCAACCAACGCGGTTAGTATACTGACAAAAATTGAAAACAAGCAATTAAAAGAAGGTGCGCCCTATCAACTAATAAATAACCGGTTTTTACTTTTATCCTCAACAGCATCATCATACACGGCTGGATGAGTCAGTCGCGTGGCTCCTTTAATCGCGACGTCAAGAATGCCTACCTCAAGCGCGGCGATTACAATGTGATTATCGTTGATTGGAGCGCCAGCGCCACGAATGTCAATTACTTCGCGGTCGTCAAGATGATTGAGGGCTTTGGCGCACAAGTCGCACGTTTCACGCAGCACTTGCAGCGTACCGTTAAAGCAGATTACGATGATATGTACCTCATCGGTCACTCGTTGGGCGCACAAATTGCCGGCGCTGCTGGCAAACTTATACAACCCGCGCGCTACAACACCATCTTTGCCTTGGATCCTGCGGGTCCTAAGTTCCGTCATCGTAGCGCTGAGTTTCGTATCGATCCCACGGATGCCAAATATGTCGAGTCGATACAGACAAGCGGCAATTTGGGTTTCCTCGAACCAACCGGTAATGCTACGTTCTACCCGAATTATGGTTTTTACCAAAGTCGCTGCTATTATGTGGGTTGCTCACACATACGCGCCTACAAAATGTTTGCTGAGTCTATCACAACCGATGTGGGTTTCTGGGGCACGCGTTGTGAACGTCGTGAGCCGGAATGGCAGTGTAATGAAGAGGTGTCACCTGCGGATCTCTATCGAATGGGCGGTGAGCCCGCACAGCTGAAAAATGGCATTTTCTATGTGAAGACGGGAACGGGTGCCCCGTTTGCGTTGGGTCGCAGCTGGCAGAATGAAGAGGCGTAAGACGGGACGTATGGGTGGGATTGAGAGTAAGGACTTTTTCGCGTTAATAATGTGAATGAAACGAGATCTTACGAAATGTGATACTTGTTCCAAAGCTTGCCACTTGAAATTAGTCAGAATAACAAAGAAAGAATTCTTTCCATGAAAACATAAAATTCCGTCATATACAAGTATAAAACTTTTTATATATATTACATATTTTTACATAATATAATTTTATTTAAATATTTTTTAAGCGAATATGATTTAAATATTTTATTTTTAATCTAATTATGATTAAATAATTTTAATTTGGAATAAAATTTTAAACGTACCAAATGTGTTTATTGTTTTTTCGACGTTCAGACCTTTGAAAAAAATTTTGTTTTTAGACAATAGATACTATATAGCGTGGCCAGATTTTTACAGAAAAGCATAAGTGAATTGAAGTAGGCGGCAGTTCTCTTAAAAGTAGTTAGAAAGGGTTGCCACCTATATACAATTTTTAAACAGCTGCTACATAAAAAGTGCGTAAGAAATGAAAAAAATTAATTTATTCGAACTTTATTTTTCCATCTCTTCAAAAATATTACCGGCATATCGTTCTCAAACTTGTTTAAATTAATGCCAATATTTAACTTCTTTTATAACATTTATTAATATTTTTTTTACATAAATGGCATCTCTTTCCAAAAATATTTTTAGCTTTCAAGCCGCTTTAGTTTCGTTTCTTTAAATAAGATCTATGGTAACTAGGCTATATAAGATTAATTGAGTTAAATATTCGGTAACAGGTGGCAACCCTTTCCTAAAATAATCTTCAACCCCAAGCTCTCATTCTTTAGTTTTCTGAGTTTTTTCGATTTTCAGACCTTTACTTAATCTTTTAATAACAGGTGGCAACCTTCTCGATTATTACATTGCGTTATTCAGAAAGCAAAAAAAAATGTAATAACTTTTTTAAAAATTTTCAATAAAATTTTTATAAAAAATTTGATTGTCAAAAATTGCCACTCTGTTAAATATTGTATATTAAGCGAAAGAGTAATAGAATTTTATACAAAATTCTAGCAAACTTAAGAGATATCGCAATAGTTTACTTTTATGATCAAAGTTAGCTTTCTCATACTTGAAATTTCATTTTTGTAAATCCGTTAACGGGTATTTGTTAATAAAATTATGTTCGCTTTGTGTTTCACTTCGTTTGTGCAGTTAAATACACGATCGCTGCTCAGCTGTGAAATCACTTCTTATTGGTTAATGGTTATGACCAATCACATTGAACGTTTAAGCCTAAAAGTAGGCTAACAAAAAAGTAGCGATTTTTAAATGCAGGGTGTAAAAAAAAATAGTTTTGTTATATATTTAGAGCTTGTTTATATAATAAAATACCTGTATTTATATTTTTCATCAGGTTTTACTCATAAATCTTTATTTTTCTTTATGGACATGTGCCTGCATACCTATATACAATAAATTTTACATTATACGGCTCGCTCCATTCATAAACACTAACATTCTCACACATGCATAGGCATATTAAGCTTCTGTTAAGTGTTTATGCAAAATAATATTAACTGAGAATTAACAACGGATTAAGTAAAGCTCCGCAAAACGGAAAATTCAGAAACACACACTTTAAGGCTTAGCACCATTGAGGGATTAAAAATACAAGCAAACGTTTACATATTTATGTTTGTATGTATTCAAAGGCATATACTCGTACATGAACAGTTATTTAATTTTAGCTAGAGACTACAGCAACATTCAATATTTTCCAAATACTGATAATAAGTATATACAAAGGTATATATATGGTTGGAAGTTTTTTCAGAGATATTCACAAATATATTGACACAGTATTATGGAAGTGTAAAAACTAAAATAAATGATGAATACGAGTATATGCAGCTATTCAAAATTTAAATGCAAAGGTTCTTTTAGTTTCCCCAGGGATATTGCAGGCTTTGAGAATACTTAAAAAAATCGCATAATCCAATTCTCTAATAGTTAGACATACATTTCGCCATAGACTCGAACTTCCATATTTATATACAAAAAATAAATTTAGGCAATATTCAGCAAAGGCGAGGGGCTTGAAGCACATAGCCTCAAAAGACAGGGATCTTCAGCAAGTATTAAACGAAATTAGGTAGATCTGAACACTATGTTCAAAAGATTCAAGAGTAAATATTTCAAATACTCTACCTAGGTTTCCTTTTATATTTCGGGATTTGGCAACCCTCGTGTTGCAACCTGGCAACTAAAAACTTTATTCTAAAGTTTGACATTTTTGCTATACTTAGAACGTTTTGACATACAAGCGCTCTTTGTGTTTTTTACAGTAACTTAAAATATTCTTCTCGGCCAAAAAACTAATTATGTAAGTAGCGAAGATTTGCGCGCGATTATTTTTTACAACTCTCGAAGAGAAATAAGTCGGCAACAGTGCAGCGATTAAATTAATTAAATTTTAACGATGAAGCTAAGTCAAGTACTAGTGTTTATCGATTATATGGTGAATGCAATAGGAGTCGTAGATCAACCCAACACGAATTTCGTGAAAGTCGTGCAAAATCAGTTGTTATTCCGGAAACTATTGTTGCTGTGCGTAAACTTATATTGACGGATCGTCATGCGACCTATCGCGAGATTAAGACAACTATAGTCATAAGTGGGACCAGCGTATTTTCAACATTGCATGAACATTTCACTGTAACATAAATTTGTTCACGTTAGATATCACACAATTTGACAGTCGCTCAAAAAAGGCTCGTGCCGCATTTCGAAACACGACATCGTGACAGGTGACGAATCGTGGGTTTACGCGTATGAGCCCGAAAGTAAACAGCAGTCGAATGTATGGGTGTTTTCAGACGATATTTTCTCATATTTTAAAATTCCCTTCCTATAGTTCTAGAATAAATGTTATACCAGTCGAACTAGCCCAGAGAAAATAGTGTGAATAGAGTCTCCATATGTCATCGAAAAGGCAGATATTATACTGACTGAAGCGTTGATGCATTTAACTTTATTTTTAAACTATAGAACTATACAATCTAGCGAACTATTGGATAAGTATTGAAAGAATGAAGAAGAATGTAAAAGATAAAATCGAAAAAGTAAAGAGTTTTTGAAAGATTTTGACCTGTGAAATATAATATATGGTTTAATTATATATTAAACAGAGTATAGGGTATGCTTGCACCTGTAGGTTATACAAAGCTTTGAGAAGCTAATGAGCTAAAACGATTTGAGCGATTATCACCTAAAATATCGATAATATATTAATTAGATATAAACACTTAAAATATTTGGGAAAGTCTCTAGAAATAAATATGTTTTTTTCCCAAAATTTCACAAATTTTTTAAAATGACATCGTTTATAAGAAAACAAGAAAAACATTAACTTCGGCTGCATCGAAGCTATAATACACTTCACAAATACAAAAGATTTCTTACAAGAACTTGCTATAGTAACTCGATCTATGCTATAGTAATCCGATCTGAATAATTTCTGCAGAGATTACATCATTGCTTTAGGCAATAAACTAAACCAAATTTCTTAAAAATATCTCGTCAACCGACCAATAAGCAGTTTCTTGAGGAGAAATTTCAAATCGATATCACAGAAACTGATATGGGGACAGACGGACAGACGAACAGACGATCAAACTGACAGACAGACAGACATGGCTAAATCGAATCAGCTCGTCATGCTAAGCAATTATATGTATATTTTGTCGACGCTCCGACTTTTGGGTATAACAAACATCGTGGCAAACTATATAATATTCAGGGTATATAATATTTAAATTCCCGATACGCAAAATACGTTTAATAATTTTTAAACACTCTATAAACTAATTTTCTAACAATTTTTTCTTCAATTCGCGCCTCTTTTGATTTGACACGGTTGACTCGACCGCAAGAAATACTGACATTCGTGCCTGAATGCGTGCGGTATTTTACTATTTTACTTGTGATTTGTGTATCGGCATGAAATTTTTTCTTATTTTCCGCTTAACTGACTCAGCGTCAGTGGGAATTCGTCATAACTTGCCGCGCCTAAGCAATTAAATTTCAGCCGCGGCCTTTCGATAATATGAAAATACATTGAACTAACTGCGATTACATACAAAAGTGTAGTATTTACTTATACTGATTTAAATTTCCACATGTTATATCTTCTTATCAGTGTCTCGCTTTTAAACTGCGGCAGCATTCTTCGGTGGGTGTGTCGAAACAAAATGGCAAAAGTGCAGAGGTAAGAACAATAATAATATTAATATGTGTATGCTTCATCGCTCCAGTTCATAATAGCTGTTGTTTGCGAATAGTTTACGCGCTTTGCACGAAAATCAAGTCTTCGAAATTATTAATTGAGTGAATGGCGAATAATAACTGAGTTTGACTTTGACGCGACGCGACGGACAGCGAAAGAAATTCTGCGCGCTTAATTAAGTGTTTGGTCGAATCGGGTCAAGGGTTAATTATTTTACAACATAAAAGTAATTTCAAACACGTATTCACATATGTACAGGCATAATGCATAGAATTTTATAAAAAAAAAATATGTGTGCGATAGAGTATTTTCCACTACTTGAAGTTGAATAATAAAAAGGATTTATGTGAATAAGGAATGTAATTTTGAATGTATTTAGTATTTTTATTCAAAACAATAGTCAATTTACATTAAGGTGTACCTGTTGTAAGGCGGTAAAAATATTAATCATACCATATGCTGGAAGCTACAAAAGCGGAAGTTGCTTGGAAGAAGACAAGCAATTGACGCTTACGCAGATTTGTAATGAGTACAAGATGCTTTCTAGAAACTTGGCATGCAATTACTAGAGTTATTTTCTGTCTACACAAAGTACTAATGATAATAAGTGCAAATGACCTGCAGAACCTCTCAGCCATATAACCTTACCTAATCGCATGCAACGAGCCAGCTTAAAGGGGCGTGCTGGCGTCCGATAAATCCGTATTCAGTAGAGGTTCTTATGTTTCTGTTCATAGAGTTTCTCTACTTACTTTCAGTAACCGGATTTCATGCGTTATTCATTCTGAATGGGGACACTTAATTATATCATTTCAAACTTAACTCCTCTAAAGTTATATTTACAAGGGAATCGGCCCTAAAGCGATGTCGCTTTGAAATATTACAATATTAAAGAAGTAGAAATCTTTACCGGTTATGAAACTGTTGGAACCCAAATTTTAAACAACGTTCTTTTGATTTAAGGGCGTGCAGTTTCCATTCAGTACACTGTCTTAGAGGCATCCGAAAGTCGCAAGGTCTGACCCTTCAAGCCTTTATTTAACTAAGACGCATTTTATCTCAACTATTTTGAACAGTACAATAGTAAATTTGATAAAAATATCATTTATATTTGTTTGACGATTATAGCGTTGCTTTAGAAAATTTACGCCAAATTTCGTGAAGATATCTTTTCAAATAAAAAAGTTTTCTATACAAGGACTTGATTTTGATCGCTCAATTTATATAGCAGCTATACCCTATAGTGGTTCGGTACCGGCAGTTACGACAAATTAACAGCTTCTTGAAGAGAAGAAGAAGGGTACAAAAGTTCAGATCGATATCTCAAAATCTGAGAGACTAATTCACGTATATATAAAGGGAAAGGCGGGCAGCCACACGGAGACGGCTTAATTGACTCAACTCGTCACACTAATCAATTATTTATATATTTTATAGGGTCTCGACGTTTCCTTTTGTGTTAAAAACTTCGTGGTAAACCTAATATTATACACTTCTATGATATTTTGTCTAACTATAGAGCATTCGTAGCATATATGATTTCCTTTGAATATATTCTGAAAGAAGAAAAAAAACACACCTACAAAAAGTTGTCTTTGAATAAAAGCGAGTACAATTTTATTTCAAATATTGTGTTTGGTTGGATGTAAACACATATATCATAGATATAATATCATTGTGTCAAATCTAATTGTAATATAGTAAAGTAAATATTTAAATAGTTAATCAAACTTAATTCGTTATCGCGTGATTCATATCAAAATATTATGAAATAGATTTTTTAGGTTATTCACCTGATTTATAACCTCGCTTTCGCTTTTGCTGAATGAAAATAATGATCCGTCATTTATATACAATACAAATGTAAATATATAAACAACGATAATTAAAAGCTCATATTATATTTGTGTAAATAAACAAACAATATAAGCACGTAGCAGGTAGTAAAAGTTGTGATTAATTTAGTAAATACTCTTTAAGTTCGTTATCTACATTAATGTCCCATTATATTTGCAAGCAAAATAATGAAGATATACAATAATATGTATCCTAAAGGCCTTAATATTTTTTATTTCTATTTTAAATATACAAAAATTGTATTTTTTCGGTAAATAAAAATTTTTAGTTTTAATATTTAAATAGTTAATCTTATAAATTGAGTCAGTTATCATGCTAATTGCTTCGACTAATTGAGTTGTGTGAAAATTATATATATTTGGTTTTTTGTTTAAGTTTTATTTTTTAATTTTCAAAAGTAATTTATTTTATTCATTGAGTCAATTAACATCCTAATTGCTCGGCTAATTGAGTTAGTTGAACATTGTAAATATTTGGTTTTTTTATTTTAATTTAATTTTTTTAAAACAATTAATATTATATTATTAATGCTTGATTGACTTTCAGTTGTTTCGACTAATTGATACGTGTGAAAATTATATGTATGTATATATTTGGTTCTTCTATTTTATTTATTTTTTGTTTTTAAAATAATTATTTTATTAAGTAATTAAATTAACAGCTTAATTGTTTCCGCTTATTGATTTGTGTGAACAAATTGAAAATGAAATTTTTATATATTTAGTTCTGTTATTTAATTTTTTTTTAAATTAATTAATTTCACTTATTGAGTCAATATACATTTCGATTGCTTCGGTAATTGAGTTGTGAAAACATTTAATTTTTTAAAAGTAATTATTTTTATTAATTGAGTCAATTAATTTCTTAATTGCTTCGACTAATTGACCTGAGTTAGCAATCCCCTCCAAATTTTTAAATTTAAAGCCAATCATTATATTAGTCGCAACTACTTAACTGTAGTTTTTTGCCTTCAGTGAGCCACGTTCATAACCGTAACCGAGTAGGCTACGCTACTTTTCAATAAAATATGAAAATTAAGCGCCCTAATTAAAATAAGTTCGAAATAACTTCAAAGTATTGGATTTAAGCACTTTTTTCCAAAAAACAAGTGTTATACCGTAGCTTCGTGATATCGAATTATCAGTTACATACACATAATCTCCACTTTTTCGTATTACTCACCCTCCAAAATATTTTAATAAAATTGTATAAATCATAATTATCAAAGACCTATCGACTGGCCGGCAGTAAGAAAAGCTAGTCACATTGTTTACACTTTATCATCGTGATATCAATTTCCTAGTTACATACACATAATCTCCACTTTTTTAAATTACTCACTCTCCAAAATATTTTAATAAAATAGTATAAATCATAATTATCAAAGACCTACCGACGGGCCGGCGGTAAAAAAGCATGCCACATTGCTTACACGACATTTTTATCTTAGACTATTTTTATCGTAACTTTTTTATCTAGCCTATGTAAGTGTTAGCAGTGCTTCGCTGATTATAAAAATAGAAAAATATAAACAATTTGGAATCATTACATTTGTCAGCTTTGAACAATGAACTTTAACGAATTCGAGAGAGATTGTCTTCAGGCGCACAACCAATTTCGCGCCCAGCATTGCAGTCCACCATTATCACTAGATCGAGGACTTTGCAATTATGCCAAGGAATGGGCGGAGGTAAGTAGTATCTGAATTATGTTAAAAAGTGTAAGGTGTTTTAATTTTATGACATATGACATATTTCCTTGAGGGATAGCTGTCAAATCAGCTGTCAAAACTAAATTCATATACAATTTTGAAAAGAGTTACGGTTATTTGAAACAAAAGTTCTTTACCGTTGAAAAAAATGTCCAATTTCATTGTTCTACACTTTCCTCTTAGACATTGGCACGCCGCAATATTTTTCAACATCGTACAAATAACCGTTATGGCGAAAATCTGTACATGTCAGTGGGTCGTCCAAATTTATGCGGTCGTGATGCGGTGAACAGTTGGTATGCTGAGGTACGTGAATATAAATTTCAATTAGGTGGTGCTTTCAGCCTAAACACAGGACATTTTACACAAGTTGTGTGGAAGGGGAGCAAATGTCTGGGCGTGGCAATGGCGAGCAGGTAAGAACGGTAGTTCTTTTACAAATAAACACCCAATAATTATTTTCAATTGTTTTAATAGCGGTAATCGTATTTATGTCGTCGCCAACTATGATCCACCAGGGAATTATAATGGCGAATATTCGAATAATGTTTTGCCGGCGATAAGGTGAAATTTTTTAGTGTCTTCGAAATGTTGAATATTTTTTTAAATATTTTAAACTTTTTTGTATATTATATGTAAATTATTTATGATAAACCTTCTGAAAATTAAATATTCTGCCAACATTTTTTTTGTACTATATTAGTGTACCCTGGAAAGCCAAGAAAGAAAGTGTCCCCTGTAAAGCGAAAACATCGATAAAATTTCGACGCGCCTGACCGTCGTATAAACACGGTTTTGTTTGCCAAGGGGCTAAACATAACACAAAAGACCGCTTGGAACCGTTTAAAAATACAGCTACAAAAGAAACTTGTTGCTGGGTGCCACATGAGTTAAAGGAAAAAAAAACTCTTGGACCAAATTTCTATCTGCAAAGTTTATTGAATCGCAACAAAAATCGATATATTTTTGAAGAAGATGATTACTGGAGACAAATATGAAAAGTGAAACACTTACAAGCCAAAATGGTTATGGTCGAATCGGAACCAGGCGGTTCTGGCTTGACGGTGAGGAAGGTTGTGCTAAGTGTTTGGTGAGATTAGACCCAACTGGCGAAGTTTTGTGTTTTTGGATCAGACCAACCCACGTTTATAGTGTCAAAGAAGAGAAAAAAATATAATGCATTATCGTTTTGGGTCAATTCTCTCCCAGATAAATGCGAAATAGTTTTCATCTTTTCTTAGTCCCCTTATAATACTGCTGCTACTCTCCGGCTGACTTTATATCAGTGCGCTGTGAATATTTCGTTTTAAAATAAGTGATTTAATAGCAAAAATAGATTACAACGCTGGTTAGCTTGTCCTAGCATCTACATATCGAAAATATTGATTACTCCAAAAACCGTTTCATTTTTGGGGGCATATTATGTTGAAATGAATACAATATATCGTGTACAGCATTTCTACATTAAATTGCGATGTCAATGTTAATGAAGCCATATTATGTTCAAATAATCTATGCGCGTGCATATAACTGTAAACATGTTTACATATATGAGTAGGTGCACGCATTTTGTACCGAAACCCAATACGAATTTCCATAGGTCTATCTAGCACATTAGTTGCGTGCGCCTCTTATCGAACAACTCTCAATTAACGTTCGTGTGGCAATTAAAATGCAAATGGCTCCCCAAGCACAACACAACTGATGGATGTATACTTAGCCGAGTGTTGCTGATGGTGATGCTGATGATGATGACGATGTTGTTGGTTTAAATTTCATGACAAAATTGTTTTGTTCTCATATGCTTTTTGTTGGTTATATTTGTTGTTGACACTTATTGGTTGCTGGCAATTTGATATCAACATTAGAGCGCACGGATATGTTGCACAAACACTTACAAACGTTTTGGTATGTATGGATGTATGTATGTTTATATATGTATACATAAGTGGTTGTATGTATGCGTGTAGACATTTGTATGTGTCGGCTGTTAACAATTTGCAATAAAAACTAGAAGTTCCTTCCAAATAATGTCTATGTGTGTGTCAGTGGCCGCATTGTCATGGCGATCAAATCAGCATTTTCATCAAAAATAGCAATAACATCAACGGTGGTTGCCACCCACAACACATTCACCCTTTTGCCTGCTATGCCAAATGACATTCGCTCCACACCCCGCTGCCGTTGAACACTTTTCAACTGGCAATGGCCAAGTCAATGCTCATTTTATGACCAAATAAACTATGTTAATAGCAATTTGCGCACAAGTTAAACCAAACACACACACACACACATAAACGCATACATGTGCATGCTAATAAACAAGCGTTCGGTAGCAAGCAGATTAGGCGTTTGGCCGTTTGCAGCGTGCCAACATACCGCTCACAGCCGCCCAGTGTCTATAACACCCTCGCACACTTCGTTCGTTCGTCTTTTTCGAGCGTTGGTCCATTCAACGAGTTGTCTCGCTCCGTCCATTCGTTTGTGCAGCAAATATTTATTGCCATTTTGGGATTACTTTCTGGGGTTTAATTGCGCTACCGGAATACCCGACAAACTTACAGCAATATATACAAACATATCAGCAATCATATGCATATACAAACTGCTAAGTATGTTTGCTTTTGTTGTTGCTACGCTTACTTGTGCTTATTGCATTTGCGCCTGCGCCTGCGCCAGCATTGCCATCGACTCCGGCCTCTGCGTGTTCGCCTGCGGCTTCGTCGCCGTTGTGGACTCTGATTGTTTTGCCAAAGTAATTTAAACTTGTGGGCAATAAAAATAGTTGTAAAATTTCCGTTATACAAATACATGCATGAATACACTGCATAAGCAAGTTAATGGGACCTCGTAAGAAAATCACTTCCAAAAATTTTCCTCAAAACTTCAAATTATATTTTTGGCTGATGAATAAATAGAGAATTATTCGTAATAGTTTGAAATTCGAAATCCGCTGAAGCCTCAGACCCATCAAGAAACCATTATAGCTCGTCTGAACATCAAGTCCTTGATCTCAATTTGTGTCGAAGTACATCTAAAGTAGATTAGGTTATGCTGACTACTTCCCTGCACTTTCTGTATGTATAGTCGATACTTATGCCCATTGTCATTAGGCCAACAACCGTCCTGTTGCCCTTTGAAACCGTGTGAGTAAAAATCATACATTCGGAGCTCTTGCAGATGAACTTGGCTATCTTCTATGTCTATAAGGCATGCCATCTCGCTCTGATCCGTCTGTCAGCGCTTTCGGAAATTTCATTGTATATCGTTTTTAGTGACTTTCGTATTAGATGTACTGATTCAATAGGCAGAGGGTTGGCACTTTTGGCAATATCATCAACTATTTCGTTTCCCGGAACTCCCAATTTATATGCAGCCCCTTGCCGGCACCCACTACATCTACTGCTTCCCTGCTTTTAAGGACATTCTCTGTCCTTGACTGACCTTCTTTATGTTGTTTCCTGCATTGTTAGATATCTCAGCCGCTTTTCTGACCGCAAAGAAGATACTGCAGTATTCCGGAAGCTTGAAAAGTCATCTGAGACCCAACTCCGAGCAATAGATTTCTGCTCTCACTCCATTGGCCATTTTTGATCTGTCTGTTTAGGGCTCTATTTTATCTATCACACCACTGCTTATTGAGCTGTGCTCGAAAATAATTGTAGAGATATCACCTAACGCTGCCAATTTGCAGCTGAATTTTCTGCAGAGCTTTCCACTGCAATGTCGATTGGTTTTAGATTGTAGTAACATTTCTAATGCAGCTATTAGAGTGGTGCTTAACGCTCCCGTTATGTAGAGGACAGCGCTCTAAAGTAGATCTTCAAAGTTTCTATGAAGCCAGAAAGGTAATGTCTAAAAACCCACAATTTAGCAATTAGCTGAAGCACAGATAGTGCTACCGAAAGTTTAAACCGAAGACTAAAAATCTTCACATGACGCGATCTCCATCTTACTCTGCTTCATACTCGTCGGGAGCTCGAAACCTAGACTAAAAACCTTCTGTGGTCTTTTTCCGCTATTCAAAATGGCGACATTTATTAGCCGTATATAGAGATCTCTCGGAGATTTTCCTGTTCAAGATGATTAATGCAGCTGTCGACCCGAATTTTTGTGGTCCTAGGATTCATACTTGTAGAAGATCTGTAGGTGTAAAGATCGGCAGATACCACTTAACCTGAAAATCTAAAATCTTTACAGATTCAGATTGCAAACATTCGAGAGTAGTATTAACCTTGAAAAGTTTCACAAGAAATTCTATCATGACCATGTCGATGTGCATCAGACTTATATGAAACAATATGACCTTATCTGCCAACGAACTTTCCCACTGGGAATGCATGCTTTCTAACTTTGAAAACTCGCTGCTCGACTGAGCCCATACGTGCATAAGAAAACTTGCTTAGACCATTTGAAAGGCGAGTCGGAAATGTTCCAGAGACACAGCCAAAAAACAAAAAAGAGCTGAAATCTTTGTGTGTTTGTGATCTGACATCCTTGTCGCCGCAAGCGTTTACACACATATACACGCAGCGATACCACTACCCGAACACGAGTAGGTGCGTTGTGTACGTGGCGCACACGAGTGGCATGGCCTCGAGTAAATAATATATGCAAATAAGATTGAATTGGGGTTTTCGAGTGAACTTGGCACTTTGATGGGCATTTTGTATTTACATAAATACATACACATGCATATGTATATATGTATGTATGTATATATATAGAGATCTGCCTGCATATATAATTGTAATTATAGTTTTAATTGAAGTTGGAAGTTCGCAAAAGTTAATGGCTGAGTATATATATATATATGTACTATATATACATACAGATATATACATGTGTGTGCTTGTGAGGGCAGTAAAAATACGATTTAATTGGTTTAATAGCCAGAGAAGATTCTGTATAAAAGAGCTTAAAGTTTTTAATGCGCTTAAAAGAAATATTTTTAAATTATTTATTTTACGCACGCAACTTTTTCGTAGGGGCTGAGTAAGCTCTCTTTAAACGAGTATTTATTCAGATGGGTCATATAAAAACTTATAACTATCTAGAAGCCGGAAGTCCTCTGTCAGTTTAGCGCCAGTCTGACTGTAATTGTCACAAAAACCAGTCAAAGATAGGGGCTTGAAAAATATTGCGGTTTACTCGTACAAACAAATTTGGAGCATAAAATACCCGAACAGAGCGTAACGGTTCAGTGTAATTGCATATGTAGTGATATATATTTAACGAGATCCCTCAAGCTTGAATTTTTTAATATGCTAGGGTTCTCTCTTTATTTCTCAATTCCACTCTTAAAGTATTTATATTTCGAAACCATACCGCTGCATTTCTCTATTCACCTACTACGCTATTTAGGTAGTCCAAATAAACATCTTTCGCATTTCCTAACAACAAAAGCAAGAATTTTAACACCTTCTCAGCAGCTTCCGCCTCGGGCTAAACATTCTACTTGGCCAAGTGGCCGGGCATTTAAGTGGCAGTAGAAGTGTGCTGAAGTGCTCTTTACCGGTTGTATTTCAGAAATATTTATTGGACATAAGAGTTTCATGAGTAAATTGCCTAGACCAACACCATAGCAACAACAAAACGAACAGTCCACATACCAGCGGTGAGCCACAGCATTAGTGAGGCATCACCGTCAGAAGCGGTTTGCGTAGCAATGAGAAGTTAATTAGCTAAATTAGCCCAAACTGATTGCCAACAGCCAGCATCGGATGGCTTAGGTAACAACAATTTATAGCTGCACGTTTTCTGCTTACTCTTGAGATGTTTCACTTTATAATTATCTAGAATTAACTTGGTAATGGAAACTCTACTGTTGATAAGTTCCACCAATGTTGTGAAACTCTTGTAATTTTTTGAAATTTTAGTACTTCAAAAGCAAGTGCTCACTTAAAATGATGTGTCAGAGATTTTCATTGTTGATTCTTCATTTGAAAAATATTTATAAAACAAATTTCTGGTGACTACGGGCGACGTATTGAGTACACAAGGTCTGTGTGTCGCAAGACTGGCTTTAAGCGGTGCGGGTCGTAGCTGATATGGCGACGGTAAAGCGTACCGTTATCGTTAAAAAAGTTTCCGTGGGCGGTGCACCCAACCAACCGCCGCCGAAACCCATTACAATATCACAAGCGGATTTCGAGAAAGCTTGCTTGGAGGCGCACAATAAATATCGAGCCATGCACGGCACACCGGCGCTCAGCATTAATCCGAACCTCACCCAGGTCGCCGCTAAATGGGCGCAGGTTAGCTGCGGTACTAAAAAATCAGTGTCAGCATGTTTAACAATTCTCTTTCGCTCCTCCTTCAGAACCTCGCAAAACGGCAAAAGATGGAGCACAGCCCTAATGGCAAGTACGGTGAGAATATCTACTACAGCAGCGGCCAACAGGTGACACCGGATATGCCCGCGAAGATGTGGTATGACGAGATCGCCAAATATGATTTTGCCAAATCACAATTCAATCCTTACACCGGACACTTTACACAGCTGATATGGCGCGACACGAAGCAAGTGGGTGTGGCCTATGCGATGGCGTAAGTGCAGAATCTATTCCAAAGTGTGGAGCGACATTTTTTGAACTTGTTTTAATGCTCTTTCAGTGGCGAGAAGGTTTGGGTTGTCGCCAATTACGATCCACCGGGTAATGTGAATGGTTTCTTCAAAGACAATGTGCCACCAAAAAAGTGAGAAGTAAAAAAGAATCGAGCTTTGTGGAATATTTTAAGACCACCGGCTTTTGGTAACTTCTCTCTTTGCGCTTACAATCAGCCACTTGTCTTAAATGAATGCTGCGCAAAGGAAAGTGCAATAAAATGGTATTATGTAGAGTTGCTATATCAATATGGAACCGGATAACTGAAATAAATTAAAAGTAGCTACTTCGGACTCGTAGTTTTGCACTATTTTCTAACCAAACGCTCTCTTTTTTATCTTTTTTTTTTTTTTTTTTTTTGAAAACAATATATTTTATTCTACTATTTATACGTGCTTACTCACACACTCTGTACAACGTGAAAACTCTGGGACCATATGCGGTAAGGTAGGCGGATACTGATTTCATTCAAATTATAAACAGACGGTTCGTTCGTGAAAGACACTAACTCATACTGGGTTCAAGAAACATATGAAGACTATGCGACAAGGGAAGTAGACAATTGAATCTGGCACCTAAAACAATATCAGTCTTGAAAGCCTACATAGCATCAGGAACTTGTCAAAGTAAGCAATTAAACCTGATGAAATCGAAGCTGAAGAAACTAAACGTGGAGTACTTGGCATTACTGGAAGTCTGAGTGGAGTAACACATAAAACTCTATCCGCATTTTACCTGTACTTCGAGACTGAAAAATATATTTTAGATTGACTATCGATCTCTAGCATAGAGCTATAAGTGAAAATGTTTGCAGCCAGCCGATTTGAGGTTTCAGGCCATTGGCACCAGGCTTAGCAACACTGTGGGTATGGTATTGTACTCGATCTTGTTATAGAATTCGTGCTAGATTGACAATGCGACCGAGTAAAGGAGATACATATGGAATTAAACACAACGTTTTTCTTCCCCAGTAAAGAAAAATCGACCGATGCGGTAATACAATTGTAATCCACCGCATAATGGCCAATTCTATGTATTCACAGATGAATTAAAAGATGAAACAGAGTAGCCTCAAACTTAATACCTCCCATCTGCCTTTTAAGCCAAAATTCTGGCATAACAGAAGGTGGCAAGTGATCTTCTGCTCTAACCATCAAGTCCATAAACCTTCTAGTGAATAGCGGCAATTAAGGCTATATACAGCGCCAACATGAAGTGTCACTGCATTAGGTTATGTAAGGAAGTAAAAACGACTTTCAGTCATCGGTAAAACTCATATGGTTACCAGGTCATATTCGAAATAAGAAAATTAAAAATCAGACGACTTGGTTCGCTCGAATAAAGTTGGGAAAGCAATTCCCTTATGCTGGGCATACCGCAAAAGTACTTTGGGTTAGTGCTGGGAATACCAAAAAGTTTCTACTTTTAGGTAGGATCTCACCTCCAGAAATTTGAAAAAGGAGAATCGAAGGACGCTCAGAATGCAGAGCATGCGCGGAGAATGATGAAACGCAGAAACGCTCCTTTTGCGAATGCTTAGTCTTCAAAATCAGCTAGGCAGGAAAAGATTCAGGTGTTTTATTAAAGCCACCGAACCAACCAATATTGGCGAATTTTCAAAGAAGAAAGGCAAACATACTTTTGAACACCTAGTCATATACAGTTAATTAAGTCAAGTGAATCAAGAAAGGAATGTAAAGAAATGTTATCTCATACACTAATTGAGTCTCAAGAAAAAAGCTTTGATTACTAACTTGACCCAAAATATACCCGAAGTGAATAACAGTAAATTTCTCTTAACCGCTAATTGCACACATAAATTCTTAATAAATTATCGTCTTGCAGAAGTTCTAGCCTCTCTAAAACTCACTCCCACTTATTCTCTTTTAATTGGGTAATTAACGGTAAATTTAAAAACACAATAACCGTTATAAATCATATAGTAGTAGTGAAAGGTCATACCTTTACACAAAACACGGACACACAGCAGGCACACGCACAAGGACACATTGTAGGCACGCACACACACACACACTTAGCTTAACTTAATAATACCTAATTTAGCAGCAACATGCAAAACAGTGCCGTTAGCCAACAATTCAAATTGGTTGTATCGCTTAAATAGCAACAGCAAAACGGTGAGTGTGTGTGTGTGTGTTTGTTGGGCTTATTAAAAGTGCGCGTCCTCGTCAATATTAAATAGAATTAAGTGGCATTGCGGTGAACATTCTAATACAGGACGCATGTATATATGTGTGAGTGTGTATGTGTGAAGGTGTCGCCTCCTGTTTGCTGTAGCCACAATATGATCTCCTTCGCTTCACAAACACACGCACATACACAAACGTATCTATGTATATACCGTTCACAGCATGACGTCAAAGTTGCAGCATAATTTTTAGTGAAATTAAAATATGCAGATATTTATGTGGCCTACGTGACTCACATACTATACACGGACACCAGCACACATATGTAACTGTAGGCTATTTATTTTTAAATGCGTGTTTAGGCAAAAGGTTATAAATTTACTTTCAAAACAAGAATAAATGTTAATTTCGGCTGCACCAAAGCTATAATACCCTTCACAAGTACAAAAGATTACTTACAAGAATTTTATTTTGGTCGTTAAGTTTGTATGACAGCTATATGCTATAGTGATCTCCGGAGAATACATCGTTGCTTCGGATAATAACTCATGCCGATTTGGGCGAAGATATCTTGTCGTATTAAAAAGCTTTCTATACAAGTACTTGATTCCGAAATGTCTAGTATATATGGAAGCTATGTGCTGTATTAATCCGATCTGGACAAATTCAACGGAGATAATATCGTTGATTTGGATATTAACGCATGCCAAGTTTCGTGAAGATATCTCGTTAAATAAAATTTTTTTTATTTAAGCACTTAACTTCGAATGTTCAGTTTGTATGGCACCTATATGCTATAGTGGTCTGATATAGGCGGTTCCGACAAATGAGCAGCTGCTTGCAGAGAAAGGGACATGTGCAAAATTTCAGATAATTATCTTAAAAACTGAGGGACTACAGATAGACAGAACATACAAACATATTTTAATGGGTCTCCGACGGTTACCATACTTCTAGGTGTTACAACTTCGTAGCAAGTTTAGTACAACCTCTTCAGGGTATAAAAATGCAGAAATAAAGGGTGTTTCACAAGTGGGGGATGCAAACACCCTCTACATTCGTATGCGTCCGATTTAACACTGCCTGGAATGATATTCTCTACTTGTTTAGTTAGATTTTCGCTTTCAGTGCGGTCGCCAGCATATAACGGTCAACACGCACGCACGCGAACAGTCTACAAGCCAACAACAGCGCTGACTATGCAGTCTGCACACGTATCTACACATTTATTGCTGTTTGTGGGTAAACGCTGCTGGTGTGGTGCGTGTTTGTGGCTTTGAAATATTGTTGACTTTTGCGTATTTGCTGTTGTTATTGTTGTTGTTGTGCTGTGTTTTAGGTTGTTATACTGTCGTCATTCGCAGCTAAATTTATGGCGTTATTTCCGCATCCGGTTTCCGCTGAACGCATGTTTTACGCGCCATATCCGCCAGCCTTATGAAGCGCACGGAACAATGCAAACAGCGCTAACAGCAACAACAAATACAAATAAAGTGCAACAAAGCGTTGATATTTAATTTAAAAAATTATTTATGCTCTTATCATAATAAATGTCGGCTGTGTTTGCTATATATATATATATAATATATCGTATATATACAGAGGCATGCATGCATATGCTATGCGCGGGGATATACAGCATCTATATGTGCATGTGGTAGACTAGGTAACCACAATCACGCATTGGAAGGCTTGCGACATAATACATATATTTACATATGTACGTTTGTTTTTATCTTCATAATAAACACATTCATGCATGGCTTGTGGCTGCCCATAATAAAATGTGCTTTGCGGTTGCACGGGGCGTATGAGTGATATTGTTTTGTTTTTCAATTAAATCATGCAACTAATTTCATAATAACCGATAACTAAGAGCAAAGCTTACATGCAGTTATATTTATATTATATTTGTATGTGCGCATAGCGATAAATCTATTACTCTATTCATTTGCGCTAATTTTCGTTTAAATTACACTTCAATTCAACTGGAAAATTGAATATGCCAACAATTGCATATTGTAAGCTAATTATTTGCAGCGGCATATATTTGCAAGCTTGATAAACTAACATATATGTTTATGTTACTAAAATATTGAGGCATAATAATTTATAGTTCAACAATATATTGGTATATTTGTCTTATTGTGATAAAAAGGCAATCGTAAAACATCCGAAAAGTCATATGAAAAAATAAATTTTGAAAGCTTTGGATATACATAAGACTGCTTTTTTTTCGATCCCATGGTGAAATTTTGTTGGAAATACCATAAAAAAAATTCCCTAAAAATTTGGGACTTTAATTTTAATATTAAGTACTAGACCTACGCCTGTAAAGATTTCCCATATAAAATACACGTAAAACTTGATTTTTTTTCTTTTTAATTTTATAACTCAGCGGCAGTTGATGGGATTATCTCACCCATCATTAGGTATTCCTCAGAATTGAACGCTCTACAAAAGTCTCCATTGCGGTAAAGTTATAACTTGCACCTGCGGGGTAGTACGGGCCCCCAAACCTAATTTTTCCATGAAATTCCCGTTTTTATGGAATTATCTCGTAAACAGCACTAGATACAGAAAAATTGTTAATAACAAAATTGTAGGAAATTTAATTTCCTACAAAAAAGGCTTTGGCACCAAATCGATAATATTAATACTCTTTGAGATACAGAGATTTTAAGTTGAAGTAGTATGGAATTTTTATGGATTTCTGAAACTCAGGTGAGGTCATACCACTTCAACTTAAAATCTCTGTATCTTGTATCTAGTGTTGTATCTTGTAAAAAAAAAAAAAATAGTTCAAAAAAAAAAAAGCAGTCTAATATACATATATTGTTAAAATTTATTAATGCATGGCACTTACCTCGCATTGTAAGTTGTATTATTTCTGGAAAGAAAAGAAATGTGATTTAATTTAATTAAGCTATTTTTTTTTTACAATCCCGAAGTTTCGGGATCCCGCAATTAGAAAGCAGGATCCCGAAATTTTGCAAGCACAACAAAATTATATATTGTATATAAATTATTATATATAATTGATGCATATACACTGGTGGGTAGAAAATTATAAACGATTTTTTTGCAAGCTTCAAAAGCTCAGTTAGATAGCTGATTTTAGTATATAATCACACTAAGACTGTTAACTACATTTCTTTGTAATGCCAGACGAA